CAGGGGGACCAGTAGCTGTTTAACACATCTGGAAGGAAACCAGTGAGATTTTAATATGATCATTATGATATGATGTTATGTGGGGGAGTGGTGGAGCAGAGGTTACAAGATGGGCCTGTGATCGTAAAGTCACAGGTTCAACTCCCGGTACCGTCAACATCAAAATGAGGTGGAAAAGGTGAAACACCCACACCTGCCTCCACCCTCATTGGCCCCCACCCTGGGCCCCTGAGCAAGGCACTCAACCCCCACCATCTGCTCCCTAAACAGGTCTCTCTTTAAAATGAGTTCTCGTGACTCAATGAGACTACCTGGGTAAATAAAGAGTAAATGAAAAAATAAAAGTTTAAAATAGAAATACTCACATTATGAGGCCAAGGTTGTGTGTGACGTGCACGTTCCTGAGAGTGTGTGTGTGACGTGCACGTTCCTGAGAGGCCACAGACAGAGCAGCTCCAGCTTTTGTTGAGTTCCTGTAGTCCTGCAGTTTTCAAGCTGAAATAAAAAACATCATGAATATGAACTTTACAGTCTCTAGTTACCTGTTCATATAAACACATGGAGGTGTCTCACCTTGTGACTGACAATAAAATATGTAACTTTATGAACTCTAATGAACTTATAATGATGCTCCTACTCTTTGAAGGTGAACCGATGGTACCACACCATCTCTCAGTCGGACAGTCTGACCAGTTTGATCAAAATCCTCCAGTTTAAAATCCTCACTGCTCAGATGAACCCTCCTCAAAGATACTTCCTCCTCTTCCTCACATCTTGTTCTTTGGGAAACCTTCAAAATGAAAACAGGACATTTGTGTCTACACAAAAACATTGTACAAAGGAGGTCAATCTTATTTTCTATTTCCTATATTCTCCCAATTTTTTATTTTTAAATTTCTTAGAACTTAAACAAAACTCCAGTTCTGATGCATATCTGTTGATAATGAACCAAAGCTGCTGAAATAGTGAGTATGCTTGTTAGAAAAATATTCCTGTCATCAGATCTCAGTCAGCTTCATTGCAGCTGAACACCGTGTTACACTGAACATCACATCAGCTGGTGGACATAAATACAGTACAGTAATATTATATTCACAAAATACTAACAATAATATGTTCATCTTACTTGTGAAAAGTTATCCCCCAAGACCTGACGTCAACAGTCCGTCGATTAGAACAGAAATAAGCTGCGAAGTGCTGAGACATCTTCTGCTTTAACTAAATAAGACGACCGCTCCAAGATGGCGGCCGAAATTCCTGCGCCGCAGCAGCCGATGAGGGATCTAGCTTTTATATGATATGTATGGTCAGGATCGTAAAGATGAAATACAACTCCTAGAATCTGAATAAAAGTGTTGTTTTCTGTGTAATAAGCAGCTGAATGGACTTCCCAAAACTGGGCATTTTAAAGGTTAAAGCAGATGCAGCCACACACCCAAATGGAAGTTGACACTTTGCTTATTTTTCAAGATATCCAGCACACGAGATTTACATATATACATATATATATATATATATATATATGATGGCAGCCATCTTGGATTTTGTCGTGGCAAGCCACCATAATGGATGTCAGTACCTCACTCATGTTTCAAGTTACTGTGTGCACAACTACTGGGGTTTTTCCAACAACGTTCAGTCAGGTCATCTTAATGATTAATTTTTTTTTTGTTGAGACGTTTTGTCTTTCATCCAAAGGACTTTGTCAGTCCAAGAAGCCACAAACAAACTCAGTCCCATAAGTAGCACACTCCGATAGTGGACCAACCAGTTTGCTGGTGATAAAATGGTTACTTGGGCCAGCCTTCTCTCCCGTTGACTCCTCTGAGGCAGCCATATCCAAAGTGGTACAAAACATCAAAGTTCATGCTCAGTAATCCAGGTAAAAATCCAACAAAGTTCAGTCAGGTCATCTGGACGCTTTTCTTTTGTTGTTGTGCCTCAGAGGAGTCGACGGGGGAGTGAGCGGGCCTCAGAAACCATCTTATCACCAGCAAACTGGTTGACCCACTATGGGAGTGTGCTGTTGTGGGACCGAGTTTGTTTGTGGCTTCTCGGACTGATGAAGTCCTTTGGATGAAGGACAAAATGTCTCAACAAAAAAGAAACTGTCCAGATGACCTGACTGAACGTTGCTGGATTTTTCTACCTGGATTATTGAGCAAGCATCGGGATACTGGGCGTTTTGTTTTTACTTACATCATGGAGAAGGAGAACCAGTGGTGTTCTATAACCCATCTTCTGAGCGTGTTACTGGTATTTGATAAGAAAAAATAAGGTACAGAAGGAGAGAATGGGTTATTAACGACACAATTTATTTGATAAAAGCAGCAGAATAATTGTATTAATTTTTAATAAAGGACAGAGCATTGCACTCATGGGAGCTGAGCACAGTCTCTGTGTAAAAAATAAACTGGAGTAACCTTCTGCTGCATCTATTATGCAAAACCGACAGAAGCTTCAACCTACGGCTGCAAGTTAAATAAAACCCAGCGGTGTTTTTATTGTACCTCTGTGTATTACTTCAGGATCCATGATGGTTATATGCTCAAGTTTGCATGTTGGCAGCTGTAACACTTATGAATACTGAATTTTCTGCGCACACAAATTGTCAAATGCACGTGCACAAATCACCTGCTGGGGACGGATCAGTCAACATGAGCGCACGGATCAGCTGCCTGTGAATGACTTTTGAGACTTTCTTACTGCTCCAGGTTCACAAAGTTAATGCTGCGTTCAGGGCTGGGGAAAAGATGGGATACCTGAGACTTACCAGATTTACCAGTAAAATGTTTACGTTGACATTACTGGATTCCAAAAGTGTTAATTTTGTGGAAATCAACAAGTTAAAATGGGCAGGTTATTTTTCATGTGGGAAATCTACCATGACACATGAAATATATTTTCATGTATTTTTTTTTGTATGGACTGTAAATTAAAAATAAACTATTCAAAATGGTTAGGTTGTTCTTCTCGTGAAAACCCTCAAAACAAAACAAAACAAAACAGAAAACAACAACAACAACAACAACAACAAACAGGAAAATATATTTTAATTTTAATTAAATTTTTCCAAAAGAATAAAATGTGTTTTTTTTTTGTGAGCTGTATGGCTGAAAGAAACATCCCAAAATTGGTATTTTATTATTTTTTGTGGAAAAACTAATAATAAAAAAATGCTGGTAGATTTCCCACATGAAGAATAACTTACTCATTTTAGATTGTATTTCATCAGAATTACCATCCATCCATCCATCCATCCATCCATCCATCCATCCATCCATCCATCCATCCATCCATCCATCCATCCATCCATCCATCCATCCATCCATCCATCCATCCATCCATCCATCCAAT